CTGCTGAGGGAGGAGGAACAGGATTAGCAGCAGGGAGTGCAGAGGTATGGGAAGAGAGCTGGGCAAGTGAGCCAGGAGGAACTCTGATGGCAGGAAGATGAGGCACAGACACAGACACTCCCTGTCACACATCCCCTTCATGTGTGTCACACACCAGCCTTGTCCCCTCACTTGCACTGCCACACGGTCTGACACCAATGGCAGGTCAGGGAGAAGAAACCAGACTGTTAATTCTTTAAACAACCTATGTTAAAACTGACACCAAGCCCAGCATTCCTGGAAACATCTCTGCTCCACAGTTGGGATGTGGATTTCTAAGCATACTCAGCAGCAAAGCACAATATGCTGTGGAGACCACGAAGAACAGTTCATTAAATACAAAGAATTCAGATTAAAACCTCACACACAGGTGGCTAAGGCAGTTAAAACAGAAAAGAATTTGCTGGCACACTGAACTATCCATGTGACCATGTGAAATTGAATGTCATCTTCCAGCAGCTCTGATCACCTAATCCAGCTCTTGACTGCCGGGGGGGATGGACACTTCTAACGAGCCAGAGATTCAGGAACAGCAACAAAATCTGTCCTAAAAACTACAGGACCTGGAGCTCTTGCACTGTTAAGGGTTAAAAACCATGCAGGTACCTCCTCCTCAAGAAAGTAATTTTCCATGTTCTGCTCTGACCAAACACCACAGCTGCTTCATGCCACCCACTGCTCCACCTACGCCTGGAAGAGCCCCTGGGGAGTGTCTTGGCCAAGCAGAGCTCAGCACAGCCACCGAGGGAGCAGCACCAATTATGTTTGATCCTTTCTGCTGCAGATGAACTTGGACACACCAGCTGACTGCTCAGGGCTATGCCCACCACATCCACCCTGAACTCATTTCCAGTGCTGTCAGTAAGGACAACACCACCCTCACAGCACCACAGAAATGCTTTTTTTAGCAAGTCGTGTTATTTCCAAATCACTGTGTGAAGCTGCAGTGTGGGAATCCCCTCCATGCACCAGCTTGGTGGGAAACACACAGGGCAGGGGCGCAGCGTGCGCTTCAACCCGCGGCCCTTCCTCTGCCCTGCACAGAGATCATCCAGCTGCTCTCCCCAAGCACCTGTGACTCCCAAAGCACCCCTGACTCCAGGCTGCTCCATACCTGGAAGAGGGGGCAGGTCATCCGTGTTGACACTGAGCAGCTTCGGCCACACTTTGCAGCGGATCTCATCGGTGAGCAGCCCCCCCTCACTGATGGCCATGCGCCGCAGCGCCGCCACGTCGATGGGGTCGCTGCTCAGGGCCTGCTGAATTTCCGCCACTTTTCTCTTCTTCTTTGAATCAAAGTCTGCAAGAAGGTCACAAAGAGCAGAGGTGACGGGCAGGCAGCACAGAGCCGGGGCAGGAACTCAGATCAGGGGAGATAAAATCCACTCACAGCCATGTCACGCGTGCAGCATGGGAGAGAAGATGGGACAGGCATGACACGCCCTGCCAGGACAGACCAACGACCACCCTGGCAGGTCATTGTCCCCATGGGGTGACTGGCTCCATCATATCAGGCTCAGCACTGGGAGCACCCTGAGGGCTCGCAGGGCATCCCCACCAGCCCCACTGCTCCTGCCACCCAGGACAGATCCCTGGCCCATGGCTCCGCACCGCGACAGCCCCGCAACCCTCTGTTCCTGACCCAGCCACCAGATCCGGTGTCAAGTGTTTCCTACAACCAGGACTCCATGTTCCCACCAACTCCGAGCTCAGCAGTGGCTCCTGGATGCAGGCAGGGAGAAGTCTGAGCATTTCCACCAACAGCAACAATCACAAGAAAGGGCATAATTACACCAGAGTTAACGAACCACGAGCATAGTGACCTCTCTCCCAACAAACACACACTTGCCAGCTATGAGGACACACGTGGGTCAGCCAGGATTATCCAAACACTGCTGTTGTGTGGAGCACATGGAGCTGGGGGCACGTAGGGAAGGGAATAACACCCAGAGCACACAGTGCTCTGGTTTCCATAGGGTGAAACACACTTACAGGACACGGGAGCGCTTCCTGGGGAGCTGAGGAGGGACAGTATTTCATGCTGCATCCTGGTATTGGTCACTGCTGCTTCTCCCGAGGAAGGGGAGAGGCCACCAAGGGCCTCAAATCCCACACTGGAGGAGTTTCCACTGCGGAGGCTCTGCTGGGCTGGAGTGCAGGATGAGGCCACAAGTGCTGCCTTTACTTAAAGGCTTTTCCAACAGACCCAAACTACTCTTGGGATCCAAATGGGATTCTTTGATACCGTGCCCAAATAGGATTTGGGGTGGGAGGGATGCAAAGGATCCCGATGAGGAAGCAGCTGTTTCCCAAGGTCCCACCCCCAGTTCCTCTGCCCACGTGGCACCTCCGGTGTCCCGGGCCCTTCCCGCTCCCAGGGAGTGCCCGGCTGGATCAGCTCGGGGCCCAGCGGGATGACAGGCTGCTCAGACACTACGGAGGCCACGGGGTGGACGCTGCCCCTTCTCAAAGTCCCCTTAGACACTTTTGGGATAAACACAAGCTCTAGCAGCCCACGACACCTCTCCAAACAAGTTCCCGGTAGCGTTAAGGCTTCTAACGCTCACCCTGTGACCACAACTTTGTGTTATTTCCTTTTCCGCCCCTTGTGCCAGCGAAATTGTTTGCACCCGAATGGAACCAGCTCTGCTGAGCTGCTCCCTGCCCCCTGCCCCAGCAGGACCGGGGCTGCCACGCACCAAAGCCTCGGGAAGGAGGAGACAAAGCCTGGGGAAGGGGAAACTCCTGTTCGCACAGAGAACGTCGGGAGCACAAAGGAAGGAGCGTATATCGAAGCTCCTCTTTGAGAGGTTTCCTGGCCCAATACCCGCAGTATTTCACCCTGTTGCAATGCAGGGGCAGCAGCTGTTTCCCAAAGGCCGCGTTTCAAAGCCTGTTTGCGCAACC